TAAGTTACATATTAGGATGAGACTTTGTTTCAAACTTTTAGTGATTATGCCTTTTTATTAAAAAAATACAGTGTGTTCTGCATGATACCTGTGTGGTACATATTTGTTCTTATTAACCGTGTCTGTCTTCAGAGTGCAGTAGTTTGTCAGGCCTGTGTTTAGTGTATAAATGCAAATGTAGTATGACATCACAGTGTCCTCTAAAACCATTCAAGTCCTAATAAACCCTCTTTTAGTAGTTTTGCAGATGTCCTGACATACAACTACAAACTCAGGTTATAGTGTATTGTGTTCTGTAGGTGATAGATGTAAAATAAAGTCAGCTCTATGTAGTGGTGAATTGTAGAAACATTTTAATCTATCCCTCATTGTTTTCTGACCATAGGAAAGGGTAGTACTCATAAACCACCATGGAGACCGGTTTGGATTATAAGTCCCTATTAACCACAAAAACCAGTATGTGTGTGTGTGTGTGTGTGTATGTGTGTGTGTGTGATCCTACACCCGCTGTGATGAAGAAGCCATCGGGGAGAGCAGTCTGCAGCTTGCTTATTTTCCCCTAGAGTTCATCCAGGGCGTCGTTAGCATTAGCACCGTTAGCTTTTGCACCGGCCCTATGGGGGGATGTAAACAGCCACAACGATAGCTGACGTGAACACTCTGGGTAGACAGAATGGTCTGCATTGGACCACTAGGATCTCCACAAGAGATGAGCAGTGTGCCGTAGCGATCGCTGTGTTTGTACGTGATATAAACACAAAGCCTTCTGCCCCGCGGCTTGCCTGTGTGATCAGAACGGCGTCAGCCCATGTAGCTGAATAGCGGTGTCGGAGATGCCCTCATGCAGCCACATCTTGGTGAAGATTAAAACAACAGTGTTCCATCTCCTTCTGAGACAAGAAAGTCATTATTGTCAATGAACCGCACATTAGAGAGAAAAACTGACGGGTTGGCTTGGGTTAGCTTTTAGCCTAGCATGAATACCTGCATGCTTGACAAATTTCCGCCTCTTGCACAGAGCTTCCAGCATCTTTCCAGTTGGTCTCCAGTGCCGGGTGAGGCCAGGGACTTTGGCCTTGGTGCTTGGAGAACCCAACAGTGGTGAGAATTTAATAGTGTGCCTTTGTCCAATTTGAAACTGAATTTTTTCCCTGTCGATGACGGTTCAGCGATGATAACGATCTCCATTTGATTATGGAACGTGTTGTGACAATATACAGTACACACTAGTACAGTGGACATTTAACACAAACAACCAGAGAACAAACACCGTGTTTTAGCCCCAAGTAGCCGCTGCATCCTAGAGTGCCGCCATCTTATTTTATTGTGATTTCATCTCTAAAGAAGGATTATGCAGACTTTTGACCATTTATGAAGAGTAAACACATGCTCAGTGTTTTTTCTATGATGTTAGCCTGGTTGGGGTGTGGGGCATGATAAAGTTCCTCCCAATTAGTTTGGATGCATTTCTCAGTAAACTGGCAGACAATGTCTCTAAAGACGTCCGCCGTTCATTCTGCTACTACCACAATGAGTTACATCATCAATAAAAATGATTAATCCTGTTCCAGGAATAGCCATGAAAACCAAGGTCATGACGCAACCTCTACCAGGCTTCACAAATTATGTTCTAGGCGCAGCCAGTCAAGACCCTCAGTCTTCAGCAGATCCCTCCTTTCTCCATATTTAGGCCTTCCAATCACTTTGGTAGAGGTTAATCCTTGTCTCATCAGTCCACAAAACTTTGTTCCAGAACTGTTGTGGCTCATCTCTCTATATATATATTTTTTTTGCAAATCCCAATCTGACTTTCTTATTTTTACTGCTGATGAGTGGCTTGCATCTTGCAGTATGGCCTCTATATTGTTGTCTACTTTGAACAGCGGACTGTGATATTTTCATCCCTGCTCTTTGGAGGTTGTTCGTATTACAGACTGCTGTTTGGGGGTTTTTCTTTTCTGCTCTCACCATTTGTCTGACATCAGCTGTTGTCATTTTCCTTAAATGAACGGTTTGATGCCTGTTGTTCAGTACACCAGGGGTTTCCTTCTTTTTCAGGACATTTCAAAATTATGCTGCTGGCTATGCCCAATGTCTTTGAAATACCTCTGATGGATTTTCCCCCTTTTCTCAGCTTCAGAACGGTATGCTTTTCTTCCATAGACAGCTCTCCGGTTTTCATGTTAGTCTACCCTTCTGAAGTACAAATGCAATCTTCACAGGTGACACCCAAAGCTTAAACTGAGAGTCGATATCCAGGGTTACCTAATGATTAAACAATCAATCTTATATGACACACCTAGGTAACAAGACACACCTGTCGCTTGTCATGATCCAATGCTTGAAATACTGGATGGGTTATACAAAATGTGTTAGGTTTTATGTTCTTTGACATACCTAGATCTACATAACAGGGAGTAAAAGCTGAAACTCTGATCTCTCGTCTCGTATTCATATTTTGATCACATACACAAATGTCCTCAGTGCACAGCAAAAACAAATTAATTGGCCTTGTTGATTCAATACTTTTGGAGGGGACTGTAACTGGCCTCTCATCTCCAGACCGCTGAAACCAATAATAGGACAAGTAGGTACAGAAAATGGATGAATGGATGGATGTTTAAAATTCACAAAAACTCTTAAGAAGCATGTTTTCCTGAAAAACACTCTCAGGCAGTACCATACCTCATTGTGTATAGCAACGTGCCATTATCCATAATTCGCAGCAGTTTGTTCGGCATAGTCATGTTGTGGGCCACGGATTTCTTCCCATTGTGGAAAAACGTGTCTGGTGTCCAGATCTTGCTGGCCATGAGATTGTTCAAACGGAGGATATTCATTGGTCCATGAAACTTCAGCCGCTCATCTTTCCAGCTTTGGCGGAAGAAAACGTCTATTGTGTATTCCTGTGGAGACAAGGAAACGTGAAGCGGTATTACTGTGCTGTTATTTGTTGTGTTTGCACCTGCATTTTTTGTTGCGTTTCCTTCAGTATATTTTGCAGATCGCTAGCTGCAGATAAGCTATGATTGACTGATCAACAGGATCAACAGCACTACATACATTAAATATATTATTTCTTTTGTTATTATACATTTAATTTATATAGCACTTTAAAATAACAATAACAACAACAATAATAACAATAATAATCCATCCATCCATTATCTTCCGCTTATCCGAGGTCGGGTCGCGGGGGCAGCAGTCTCAGCAGGGAAACCCAGACTTCCCTCTCCCCGGCCACTTCATCCAGCTCCTCTGGGGGAATCCTGAGGTGTTCCCAGGCCAGCCGAGAGACATAGTCCCTCCAGCGTGTCCTGGGTCTTCCCCGGGGCCTCCTTCCAGTGGGACATGCCCGGAACACCTCACCAGTGAGGCGTCCAGGAGGCATCCTAAGCAGATGCCCGAGCCACCTCATCTGGCTCCTCTCAATGCGGAGGAGCAGCGGCTCTACTCTGAGTCCCTCCCGAATGACCGAGCTCCTCACCCTATCTCTAAGGGAGAGCCCAGCCACCCTGCGGAGGAAACTCATTTCGGCCGCTTGTACAGTATTTGTGACCTCGTTCTTTAAGTCACTACCCACAGCTCGTGACCATAGGTGAGGGTAGGAACGTAAATCGACTGGTAAATCGAGAGCTTTGCCTTTTGGCTCAGCTCCTTCTTCACCATGACAGACCGATGCAGCGCCCGCATCACTGCTGACGCCGCACCGATCCGCCTGTCGATCTCCTGCTCCATCCTTCCCTCACTCGTGAACAAGACCCCGAGATACTTAACCCTCTGGAGTCAATGGCATCGTCGGCGATGCTGCGTATCTTTCTCATGTATTTCAGTTCATAACTCGCTGAAATCTTATTATAGAAACATGGAAAAATGCTGACTAAATCTGTAATCATTCTTCTTTTCAGAATGTCCATTGTCGGAAGTATTAAAGTTAATATTAAATTAAAAAAGTAAATTAGGTTAAATCAGCAAAAAAGTAAACCATGTCACCTTTTTTTGTTTTACCTGCATCAGGGGCGTGTAGTGCAGCTCTCACCCGAAGATCCTTATTCACATTCTAAATAGCTGCATTAGCGCGTATTCAAATCGCATTCGCATGGTAATTTGATTAACAGCACAACGGTGAAACGCGATCCAGATACATCCCCATCAGCGCCATAAAGGGGGAAGGGATGTGGCCAGGTGTCAATGGCTCATTCATACACATTAAAGTTGCTACATATTCAATGAAAGGAGCCAGAAATAGTGACATGAGTTCGGTTTTTCTTATTTATATATCCAAATGAATGTTGCAACTACACCATTTAGTCATCTTCATGTAGCCAAGACTTTGTTGATCAGATATCTGGGATCAAAACAAACTGCCAGCATTGCTTACTATGTACTTTTATAATGTTTCTGCAATTGTTCCAAACTGCATTTTGCAATGTCTATACTTTGATGTCAAATTACAAAAACTTAACAGAAATCTGACATATTTACAAAGTACACTAAGATAAAGATGAGTTTAATGCCAAAACTAATATATAAGAAATAATTTATTTGCCATGAATTAAGTTTATGATATTGAATGAAATGTGTGACCATGCCCAAGTCAGTGAAAGTGTGTTCCTTACCCCTAGACTCCAGAGGGTTAAATTCTTCCACTTAGGGAAGGACCGCCTCCCCAACCCTGAGAGAGCACTCCACCCTTTTCCGGCTGAGGACCATGGTCTCGCATTTGGAGGTGCTGATTTTCATCCCAGCCGCTTCACACTCGGCTGCGAACTGCTCCAGTGAGGGCCGATGGTCATGGTCTGATGAGGCCAACAGAACCACATCATCTGCAAAAAGCAAAGACCTAAACCTGTGGTCACCAATCCGGACACCCTCATGCCCAGCCTGCGCCTAGAAATTCTTTCCATAAAAGTTGTGAACAGAATCAGCGGCAAAGGGCAGCCCTGGCGGAGTCCAACCCTCAGTAGAAACGAGTCCGACTTACTGCCGACGAAGCGGACCAAGCTCTGACACCGGTTGTACAGGGACCGAACAGCCCTTATAAGGCAGCCCGACAGCCCATACTCCCGTAGGGACACGGTCGAATGCCTTCTCCAAGTCCACAAAGCACATGCAGACTGGTTGGGCAAACTCCCACGCACCCTCCAGGACCCTGCTGAGAGTATAGAGCTGGTCCACTGTTCCACGGCCAGGGCGAAAACCACACTGCTCCTCCTGAATCCGAGGTTCGACTATCCGACGGACCCTCCTCTCCAGAACCCCCGAATAGACCTTACCAGGGAGGCTGAGGAGTGTGATCCCCCTATAGTTGGAACACACCCCCCGGTCCCCCTTCTTGAAGAGGGGGACCACCACACTGTTTATAATCCCCACCATAAACAGTGTTGATGCTGCACCGCTTTCCCGCCCTGAGCCGCCGGATGGTGGACCAGAATCTCCGCAAAGCCGCCCAGAAGTCATTCTAACAATAATAATAATGTCACTTTTTTAGTACTTTGATGCAAAATGTGTAAAGATTCAGTTTCTGGTGTAGAAAAGTGTGAGAAATACCACAGCATCTAATATCCACAATAAATACATTTTGGGTTTAGAAAATGTCACTTCCTCACTTGTGATAGGACTTCCTTGTCAAATAGCACTGATATGCATGTCTGGATAGAATGGTTTTTTTTGGTCAGAACAACACTGGCTTGGTATCTGCACCAGGCATCATGGCATGTGTTTGCATTTGCATACACTGTCCCCTTCAGTACAAATAAGGGGTTTTCAGCAGAATTTAAGCCTGAAGACTTAGATGACTGTTAAACACAAAACTATTTATGTGTTAAGGGTCTACGGAGCGCCTAACATCTCTTTGTCTCAGTTATCTGCATATCTGTGCATGTACATTATCCACATGGATTAAGTTACTATGTGATGGTGGGGATGAGTCACAAAAAACATGCTGATAGAATATTTAGCCAGAGAGTTTTCAGTGAGTAAGGACTTTGACTGTGATCCAAGCAGCATGATGACATGGAGGTACTGTCTTACGGTTTAATGTTACACTTTGGTTCTATAAGACAACTAGTGTTTAATATGGGAACTGAGGGTCTTGACGTCTGAAACTATACTACAACATTTTATTGATTCTATGGAAAAAAAAACAAACACACAGAAATACTCTTGGCCTTATTCTGAGAAATTTCAAGTGTTCATGGTGGTTGGAGTCACCTTAATTGTCCTAAAGTGGTTAAGTTTATCCATTGCTCTGTTTTTGTACTTCTATTTATTAATTTGATGATCACTTGACTTGCCTGATTTTGATGGATGACAAAGGTATTTCAGATGTTCTCTCTCTCTTATACCCTAGTGATGAATTAAAAGGCCAGATCACAGTTTTGGAAGACAAACTACCTTGGTAAAGATAATGAATGGTAAATTTGTCATAAACCCTACATATCCCCTTTTTAGAAAAATTTGTATTATAATAAAAAAAAGTACATATTAGAATAGGGAATAAAACATCATTACTGGAGCTACTCAAAGGCCTATATTGCCCTTTTTCAAATTTTCAACAAGGTTGCTAAGGATTATGAACCTGACTGTACATCCATTGAAATGTATTCAGTTGGAGATCATACATTATTGTTCTAATACACAAGTGTTCTCTGCCTAATAAACTGTCCACTACTTCAGAGACTTCTCCCTTGGCACCAATAAGCGAGAAGCTATTTGTCCACCTTGCTATAACATTTTAAAATTCTTCACTCAGGTTTGTGCAACTACCCTCCCATGATGTTGACCTGGTCAACATGTTACAGGATTTGTGCTGGTAAGTGACAAACTATCGACTGAAAATGAAAGTTTCCCTCTATTCAAAGAGTATTTATGAATAAGTATTGAACAGACAGGTTCAGTCACACTCTGTCCATGCAATGGGCAGAATCACAAACATTAAAGATGAGCTGCAGGATATAAACATAATTTAACTGAAGGAAAATGACAAATACTGAAAGCTCATTAGCAGGCTCGATAGAAAGGTAACTAGGAGAGAAAAAAACATCAATGTGAAGGGGAACACGATGTAACAAAGGGTTAGACGGAGGTGCGGAGCGTTATTTTTAAAATAAGTAGGAAAGTAACATACTGTACCACCAAAAACATGGGAAAAGGCAAAAGGTATGACTGGAAAATGAAAGCAGAAACACAAAGGAACAGCGACCATCTGACCACAAGCGTCCACACACACACAGAGAAATGGACAGACTTACATGTGGTTAGGACAAGTACCAAAAAAATCATCGGTTAGATAAAAAGTTTTAAGCTTTTAGGATAAAGGGAAAATATCTCCAAGATGCCCCTTAGTCAAGCTTAAAAGATCAAGGTTTTTACAACTTGTTTTAAGATCAAAAGGACCAGGTGATATATTAGGAACTGCTATAATTTTTTTGTATCAAATCAACTTCAGAGTAGTACAGACACAGATTAAGCATCAGTGTCCCAGGCTAGTATGAAATCCAACTCACTTTGTAGTGTGATACAGCTATTAAAGCAAGAAACCAGTTTCTACTTGGGAGAGAAAGAATTATAACATAATAGTGTTAGACACGGAAACTGGCAAACAGCTTCTGATAACTGAGATCTGGTGGTGGTCATGGATCTACTCTATCAAATTGCTAAAACTCCTAAAAAGCCCATCGAGAAGAATGTGACATGTAAAATTCTGATTTGATTTGAATACTAGCACAAAAAAAACTGATCTGATACACAACAGCAGAAACTTTCAAAACAGCCCCATACATCTACATAATGATCCAGATCTGAATTACATTGATATTTGATTCTAGATACTGGTACAACAAAATCAAATATACTGTAATATATTTGTCACCAGTTTTTACGTTTATAGTCATGTCAACGTGGGGTCTATTCAGTAGGTTAAACTGAGTCTACATCAAACCAAATCAGCTTGTTGCTGTTTAGCTTAGAGTTAGGCAGATACGTTGTATTGCCATGGGCATATTGCTGCGTCTGGTGTTACACAAGACAGGATGTTCATAGAAGATGAAGTTTCATGTTCCCACAGGATGCCTTCAGAAACACAGGTCTCTGGGACATGTGTTAAACAGCACAGTGATAGAGCCCATAATAAGCTTCATAAAATCCTCATGGAGACCATAGCCATGGCGTGTAGCTCTATGAGTTAGAACTCTGTGCATGTGCCTGTGATTGGAAGGTTGCCAGTATAGTGATGCCGCCACTGAGCCCTTGAGCAAGGTCCTTAAGCCCAATTGTTCCAGTAGTTCTGGAAAGTGGCTGACCCTGCACTGTGACTGCCAAGACGGGATAGGCCAAAAGAGAATTCCCCTACAGAGATCAATAAAGTATCACAACTTACTTTAGAGAGGTTTATGAAGAGAACCATATCCCTACCTGTACTACTGAGACCTTCATCAATGACAAAGCAGATTTACTAGAGGTTCACCGAGTGACCGGCCAGGGAGCGTAATTGGTCGATTTTCAGTGTACTTGGCCCAGAAAGGAGACCCTCATGGATTTCCGATACCGAACCGGTCCATTTTACGCATGCACCACATGTCATACGCACAGAGGTGCAGGCAATAGCCTCACAGCTGCTAACTCATTAGCATGGAAGTTCTTCACTGTGCGAGAGGACGACACAAAGCTTGCAAGTGGTAATACTGTACATGTAAAGCCAAAGTAAACCGGGGGGGAACCACCACAAAACCGGGGTGAAACATCGGGGGTAAACTTTAAACTGATTATTAAACGTATACTAGATAATCTTTTTTTTTTTTTTTTAAACTCTTTATTTAGTCATACAGGTCATTTTCCACATAAAACAGACAAAAAAACAACAACTACAAAGCCAAGGAAAGAAGAGAGAGGGTGAGAAGAGAAAAGGAGAAAATAATTATGAGGACATTTGGAATACAATGGTGTGGTAGGTTCACAGTACCTTACATGGAGCAACCAATTAAGCAGTATATGCATATGGTACTTATAAGAGATCTGTCTTGTCTGCTAAATAAACACACCATTTTTTCCACCGTTTTTCTCCTAGCTCTTTTTGGAGCTGCATGGAATAGGTAATCTGTTCTAAAAGGTGCAGGTGTTTTACAATATTAATAAAGTGTTTAATGGTAGGGCTATTTTTTTGAAGCCAGTGTTTCGTGATGGCTTTTTTGCTAGAATCTTTAACAATCTTTAATCATCCGTACTCAGCCCATCAGGGATAAGTCCAAGATAGAGGGATATAAATTACATATTCATATTAAAGCCTAAAATTTCAGAAATAATGGACAACTACTTATACTAGATAATTTTGATAAGAAATAATCATTAAAATTGCAAAGCTAGCCAAGGTTTTTTCCCCTATTAGAAAGGTAAGGAGGCATGTGCTGAGTTTACTGCACATTGCTGCATCCACCACATGATGAACCACCACAGGGTGGTACAAATGGACCAATAGTACAAATGGAGTTTTTCCACTGGTAGCTGGAGTGCCAATCCTGCCACCAATCCCCAAGTTATACCCTGTAAGTTGGAGGACCTCCTTATAGGACTGGGTGTAGATTAATGTCATACCCAGGATGAAGCATTTGCAGGTTAAGGGTAGGGTTGCAAAATTCCCGGAATTTTCAAAGATGGAAACTTTCCATGGGAATTAACAGGAATTAATGGGAATAAACGGGAATTAACGGGAATTTATGGGAATAAACTGGGAATTTTCCAAATTGAAGGTTGGCT